GGTGTCGTCAGCAAACTTCAGTCAGAACTGCTGGGAGTAATAATGTTGTGTGTCCCATCTTGGTGTTTCAGCCCTCTGTTACCTCAGAACGGAAGAGCTAACTGTCTTGTTTTCCCTACCAGTACTGGAAGATACACACTGAGGGCACTTGCCATCCAAGCTTACCAAAGGGAAGTAATTGCTTAAATGGATAGTTGCACTTCAAGACATGTGTCCTGTTTCCCAGAAAGACAACCCTCCTGCTGTAATGTGAAATGAAACGAGGGCTATGAGCATTTTGGAGGAATCTTCTGCACATTAGAAATCATCTGCTGAGAAAAATGTTGAATTTCCCACTTTTGGGCAATTTGATAGCCCTTTATGTTTGGGAGCTCTGCAAGCATTGGATAGAAGAGGAGGGGCAGTATATGATCACTGCAGTCAGTGAACATCATTTATACAGCTGGAAATGACTGAGGGTAAACGTCCCTTTTACAGCTCTGTTCAGTGAGGCAGTAAATAGTGCCATGGAGGGGGTGTTTTAGCAGACTCTCAGTCATATGCCTGTCTTTGCACTAGAGACTTGCAAAGGAAATGTGCACTTTTAGCTGCTCTAACTTTCTGGATGTTCTCTCTCTTACCTAACTTAGCATTTTTAGGCTGTCCACCAGGAATTACAACTGTGAACTCACCTTTTTATATACAATGTATCTATAACTACAATTAAGAAAAAATTGTTAATGGATCTGAAAAGTCGGTTCAAATTACAGTTAAGTAATAAGTAAGGCATATGTTGTACATCTTTAGCATCTTTGTTCTGTAGCTGTCTGGAAATGCAGATGGACCAGCTGAACTGAGCCTCATTCCTGCCAGAGCTGCAGTTGTGGTTCCAGGCATAGCATGGAGGGCACAGCCACCTCCTGCCAACCCAGCACAACATTACAGCCTGCTCAGCCCCTGCTGCTTTCTGGCTGCTTGCGAACCCTTACTCAGAAGTGACAGCAAACTTTGTTGCTAGGGGAAGGATGATTTATCAAGTAGGTGCCTGCCGTGCTGAAATGGGTGCTCATCCAAAAGTCATGAGAGCTTCATGCGGGTCAAGGTAGCGGCAGGGAGTATTCACAAATCTACCCCTCTGTCATCCTGAAGTTTTGTGAGATTCTATTTGGTATTGCAATAAAATCAATGACAGATTAGTAGTCATTATCTTGGCAGGTTGGTTTTGAATGCGGTTGAGGTGGACAGCATTAAGAATCCCTGTCCCTAACGTTTATGCGCTTCTCTTTCATTGTTACAGTCTCTTTGCACTGCTTTTGTCTGACAGTTGCTCTTTGTTTGCCTTCAGTAATTCCTTTGTATGGCCCCGTGATTTGACAACGCAGTGTTATTCTCATCAATGCTGTCAGTCCTGAAAAGGTGCACTCGTGTGACCGAGGGGCAGCTATAAACCGTAGGAACACAGTAATTGCTGGAACCCAGCAGAACACCACTCCGCTTTGTCCCTAATCCTTGCTCTGACTGTGACCAATGCTGAGGGGTTTAGAAGAAACAGAAACACTGTGCTGCTTTTAGATTATCTGTCTGTGACTTCTGTCCCTCCCTTTTTAAAAAAATAGAATAAACAAAAGAACAGCCTGTGGCTTTCTTCTTAACTAAGACTTCTCCATGTTTTGATAGCATGATATAGTAGATTTTATTGATTCCTCATACAGTCTTTTGCGCAGTTGAAAATGCTCTGGATTTACCATGCAAAGTTCCCGAGAACCTTGTTAAGGATAGAGCTGAATGAGTCTTTTATAGCACAACTGTTATAATTCTGTATGACGTAGTAAGAAAAGCTCAACTTACTGATCATCAATTTATGCCCTGAAGCATTAAAGCAGGTAGAATTTCTTGATAACAACGTGTGGTTTGTTGTCACAGTTACGCTTTTGCAAACACAAACAAATCAGAATTCACTGAAAGCATCTAATCAAGTGTTGAAAACCTGAGGGCAAGTCCACAGCTTCTTGATTGTTAATTCTTGCAAATAAATGGAACAGTAGATAAAGATGTAAATACTTACACTGAATCTCAAGAAGTCCTGCCTTTGGTCTTAATTAGTGTGTGTAATTTTTGTGTAATTTCCTTCTCAGTAGTTTAATATAACCTTTGACTGAGGAACACCTCTTGCTACTTCTAGAAGACACTTTTTTTGTTAAAGCTAGGATTATTGCATGTAGCTCACATGTTTTTTCAATTCACATTTTGGAAATTGTTATCTTTGTATGATCAAGATAATGCTGTAAATGCAAATAGGTACAATGGAGGAAAATAGTTATTTTATATGTTAAATACTGTATGCAGATGTCAATCTGTTTTTTCCTGCCAATATATTGCATATATATGTACATATTTTTAAGGCCTTCTCTGTAGTTAAATGGAAATAAATGAGTTAAATCAGATTTTTCAGGATATATAAAAAGCTGAATTAGGTTGGTTATCTTCCAGTGCTGACCCTGTTCAATCAGAGGATATTGATGGGAATAGCTACACCCACGTCATCCTCTTGGATAATCCTGCCTAAAATACTCCAGGGGAAAGCAAGTAAACAACTAAAAGTAAACAGTCTCAAGCTTTGATATCTGATGGAAAATTCCAGTCAATGGTTGTGTTTTAGAACAAATTCTGACCTGTCTAGGTTTGAACTCTTAATTTCTGTAGTAAAGAAGGTGTTTACAGAATCTTACTCATTTGCAGCAGAAGTCTTCTGTCACTGTAATTTTCTACTCATATAAGAGGAATACCAGGTATTTAAACAGTAGTCATCTGTCTTTAACATGTCCTTAGGTGTCGAGTCTGGAACAGGTCTACATATATGCATTGTCCATGTAAATATCTGCCCTACGGACTATACCCACCCTGTATATATCTACTTTAGTGACATAATTCTAGTTGCTTCGAGTTTTTTTTGTAGATTTTCACTGCTAAGAAATTCAACTCTATATTTATTCCCATTTAATTGCTAGACTGTCTTTGTATTTAAACTGTTTTTTATGAAAGTGTATATTTCTTCACCTTAAAACTATTAGCTCTCCTTTGTCCCATAGAGTTTAACCGTTATGATGGTTTATGGGTGGAGATTGGAAAACAGAAGCCTCAGCCATTTTTTTAGAATTATTCTGAATATCTGGAGAGAATAGCTGAATAGCTGTAATCTTTTGAAAAGATTAAAAAATCATAAGGGAATAATAACATCTCAATTTTTACTTAATTAACAGAATTCCCAAATCTGAAAAATGCCATCTTATCCTAATTAACATGTTCTTTTATAAAAGAACACTTGCTATAAACCCTGAGGTGAGAAAGCCACCGGATGTTTGGGGGCTTTTTTATTTTCCTTTTTTCCTGAAGACGAGTTCTCAGCAGATACCAAAAAAATATCTCGCATGCTAAATCTTGAAAGTGAAAACAGTATTTAAAAATATTACTTCTCTCCACTTTTCTCACCATGGCCAGATTTTATCACAGAGCATAGCAGGACCCCCAGAGAATTGAAGTCTGTCACTCAGCTCTGAGATGTGGTTGTAAGAAGGAATCAGCATAAGTGGAATGAGTGGGAGAGGAGCAAGAGTGTAACCTGATGGAGAGGTTAGAGATCTCAGAGGCGATTACATCTGCCTGTTTCTCATCCCATGGCTTTTTACGGTGGTTGTAGTATTCCTAGTGCACACAGTATATGAAGACGATCACTTGAGAGATTTGCCTTGAGCAGGAAGTAGAAGTATAAATCAATTGAAATGTAATAGAGGAAAAGTGAAACTAATACAGCCGTGCTTGGGGCGTTTGTTACTGTCAGCAAAGCTGCACACGCTTGTGTCACACAAGGGTAATCTGCATTGTGTTTCTGTTGATCGAACAGATATTTATAAATAATGATTGGATGTTGTTTTGAAAGAGATACTGTTGTTCAAATCAATTTGGGAGTAAATTTGGGAGTGTTGCAGCAGCTGCTACATTGATTTTATTGGCCTATGCATAGAAGTTAGACTAGATAATTTCTCTTTCAAAGTTCAGGAATTGTTAATAACCATCGCTATTGCAGGCCAGGCAAAGGTCAGGTAGCTAATCCTGAAAAAAGCTGGTAGTATGAAGTTGCTCCTTGATTCCCAGTGGCTGTTTGGAGATTCCAAGTTTCTGCCAATTAAAAAAAAAAAAAAATGAACCTACTTCATCTGTAACACATACAATATACTAAAAATGTAATAAAGTGCATCTTCTTAATTTAGAAGTCCAGAAAAATAAAAAATAAAAAGAGAAAAGAAGCATAACTTACAGTAAGGAAATAAGGGGACAGGAATAAGGTTATGTGGACCAAACAACAGTCATATTTTTGGAGAAACTTTGTGGAACTGAACAAGGCAAATCCTTAAAAATACAGAGAGCTACATTGAAGGAAACATTCCTTCTGACTCTGCTGGGAGGTGGCTTTGGCGGTAGGACAGAGCTGAATATCTGGATGGTGTCTTGGTGATGATCTGAAAATCTGTGTGCTCTGGTTTTCTGGTATAGCGTGACTATGCCAGAAACATAGTTATGTTTTATAGGAAAGGAAAAGAGAGGGTTAAAATGAAATGAAATAATGTCATCTGCCAACTTTCTAGGTAAGTAGAGAAACTTCTGGCAGTTGCAGAGAAAGAAGTGTTGTACTTCTAAGAATTTTGGTGCTAATTGAAATTCTCTGTGTGTGTATGTTAAAATTATGATTAATGAGTGGTGATGATTAGGTTTCCTGGTAGTAAACATGATGTTTCCTGGTAGTAAACATGATGTTCTAAATGTGGATCTTGTTTAAAATGCCATGGTTTCATGGAAACATGGAGCAATCCGGCCATGAACATGCCTAAAATAGCTGTAAAGGAAGTGTTACATTAATAATGGGCATTTGTTGTCATGATTTTCAATCTATTTGTTATCTTTTTGATTCATATACTTTTCAAATTAGATATGATCATTACTATTTTGCTTTTTTTCTGTTCCAGCGGATTAGAGAACTAGAAGACAAAATAGAACTTCAAAAGAGACAACTCAAAGAAATTGAGGAAAAGGTAAATAAATGCCTGGGCCATGCCAATGGATTTTTTTTTCCATACTAATTTATTTTTCTCTGTTGCATTGACCTTAATAGTACTTAACCTAATATCATGAAACCTATTTTAAAACAAGAAAGATAAAATTTGAATTCAAGTCATTGCTACATGAAATGAAGCTCCATCCCTAATCTGCTCGAAATGATTTGCTATCTGGATTTTATATCAAATACAGAAAGGAATCAAGGGGTTTGGGAGAACACTAGACTATGAGGGAGAGGATTTGCTGTGTTTTAGATCAAGAAACAACATAAAGATTTGACAGAAGTGGTTAGCTCAGCCCTGTTCTTCAAGTAACACTGCTTTGCAAAACTTGCAAATACTGAAAATTAAAAAAAAAAGTTAATGAGGTGCATGTTGCAAACACTGCAAACAAAAAATATTTCTTGCTTTAAGATAGATACGAGTTCCAAATTAATATCCCAGATCCAAATTTTCTCCTCTTTTGAAGAAACTCTGATTGAGGCTTAAGACAGCAAATGTATTTGGGTCACTGTGGTACCAAGCAAGAGATGGCATGAGATTCCTGGACTGTGGGCTCAAGTTTCCCAGGTCTGTGGAGTTTAGACTGTTCTGTAGGGCATGGACTGACAATGGGCTTTCTCTAAGGCCGAGCAAACTGGTTTAGTTACATTGCTTTTGCTAAACCAGTGCCTAGATCCCAAGATTAGTCACACCATCTCAGGTTCATTTTCTCAGGTACATATGGGTACAAACCTGCTGCTGGGCTAAATGGAGAAGTTAGGGGAGTTTCATCTCATTATTTTTTTCTTTCGGGATCCAAACAGGATAAAAGGGTAAAAGGAAGGCTTTTGGAGGACTCTGAATGCAAGTTGAAAGAGGTCAGAGGGTTTGCAGAACAGAGAGAGGCTTTGGGGAGCAGCGTGCTGGATGTTGGAAGGTTTCTTCCTCACCCTTCACTAGTCTCGTGGTCCCTACATCTGCTCTCAGGAGATGGCAATCCTCCCTCCCCGTGTCACCCTTGGGAGTATTGCACTTCTAGCAGCTACTCCAGTTCCCTCAATAGCTTCCCTGGCCCCTTCTGCCTCCGCAGCAGTTGTCTTCCCTCTGCAGTGCCTCATCCTGCACTTTTTGAACCATTATGTCCAACTGGGTTTGTGGAATAGCCAGGAGAAGAGCTGTGAGGAGCTGGGCTGTCTGCTGCTGTTGCTAATCGTCACTTTACATCACCCCCACTGCTCCCTGGCTGGGGCTTGTCTGTCTGCATCCAGCAGGGAGGCAGCGGTCCCTGTTTCCACTAGCAGAGAAACACAAACAGTATCTGCCCCTTAAAGGGCTCTTTTGCTGCCTTTGCCCTCATCTACCCTGGGCCACTTCTATAGCTGAAGTGGTTTTTATAGCTGTTCCTGCCTGACAGCCAGTGATGTCTCAGATGCTACAGTTAACTCTTCAAGACATAGAAACCTTGAGGGACAGGTGATATCTTGACATTTTAATTATTACAAATATTAAACTTTATTCACCTATTCTAAACATCAAAATCTCTAGATATTGCAGTTGCCAAAAATGTAAGCCTTTAATCGTTGTCATTGCAGTTTACAGAGTAGATATTGGATTAGACAGACTGCTAATTTTGAAAATGGAAGTCAGCGTTATCTGTGCTGGTTCATCAGTGCAATGGATGGGGAAACGTATTAGAAAAGAAACAGCTTAATCACAAGCTTAGCAGAAAGCTTGTAATGAGTTAAAATGATTAAGGTTCTCTTTACCTTAACGTTACATTAGCAGGAGACCTCAAAAAAGCTTCATCATTTTCTATTAACCTTCAGCTCCTGGATGGGTGAAGGGCTTCCTTCTATCTGTATTAAGTTTGAATTTTTTTTTTCTTTGGGATTAAATCCCATCCTGAATTTGACTGCCTGAAGGAAGATCGTGTTGTCAGAGAATTAATGAATGAGATACTTCTACTTCATTGTTCTTCCGAAGGCTTAATATGTCAGTGGGTGCAGACTGACACCTACATGCCGCTGATACTGAGCACAATAATTTCTTGTGGAGAGAAGTCTTCCTTCTCTGAAGGAAGGGCGGTATTTATAGCTGAGCCTCATTGCTCATTGTAGCTTAGGGCAATGCACCACTTATAGTTACTGTGTCATGAATACGGCTTTTTATTTTCCTTTAGGAATGGATTCAGTTTTGAAGTTTTATGTAAAATTCTGTCAAATCAAAACATGAGGATGACAGTAATTTTGCCCTATAGATTCTTCAGCAAATCGTCCTGCTTCTAAAGGCTATACAAAAGAATAATGCAAAATCTCAGTTTTATTCTACAAGTTGATACATGAGGAACAGGTGCTGTTTAAACACATCATGCTTTTCTCATAACTGATTCTCTACCATTTAAGCTGCATTTAGTTTGTTCCCTTGGCTTTGGTAAGTCTTGGTTCAGGAAGGCTTTCAGGTGTGTAATTATAAGTACTTGCTTAACTGAGTCACAGAACTGAGCCTAGTATTTCTGAAGTTACGTAATCCACAAGCATTACTGTTTGTAAAGCTGCCCTCAAATACTGAATTTTGTTCCCTGTTACCCCTTTTTAGAGTAAGAATGGTATACTGTATCTCTCTTTCAGATCAACTCAATTAATATTGGTATAAGATTAACAGCTGTAAAGTACTGTCACTGGATTTCATATTACATATCTTACATCTTTTTTCTTTTCTTTTCTCCTCATTTTCTTTTGATCTTATGTTATAGTTTTTGTTCCTTTTTTTGTTTTTTTCACTAGCATTCATTCTGTGGCCTTGATGACACAACTGAGCCAAGACATGTGGTTGGTATTTTTACATTTCTTTGTACTCAATTTTTAACTCTTAGATCTTGCCATGTTTTGAGAATTGTCTTCATAAAACCCTGAAACCATGGGAAAGATTATACTGATTTTGCTTGCACAGAGAGGAAGAGTCCCTTATAAAATCCAACTGGGATGCTTTCAGTTACTTTCCTAGGCTTCTGCAGAAGGTCATTGGGTTTTCAACAAGAAATGATTTTGCATTCAAAGATACTGACTTCCCTAACTGCAGTGGGTGCTTTTCAGTTCTGCAGAGCAGGTACATTTTGTCTAAAAGTTTAGGTTTTCTGTAGGATCTTACCTTCTGTCATGCAGGATGGAGAGATGGCAAACAATGCTTGTTTTTGAGTTTTGTTTTCTAAAAAACCCCATAAGCATCACCACCCAGGCAAGAAAAGATTCATTTTATTTCCTCAAGATCCTTGAAGCCACTAAATAACTTAGGAAATAATGATCTTATTTTCCTTTTATGAGGCGGTGCAAAGGTTGCAATGTGACTGACCCTCCATGTGCTCGTGCAACATGGAATGGGCAAGGATAAGAAACGTCCATGTCTCCTCCTTGAGACACTACCATCATTCCCGTTATCTTTTCCACAGTGTCCTGATCCCTTCAGCTCAGTGCAAAAGACAGAGTGAATTTCTTGAACTATAGCAGGAGCTGTAGCAGCAGTGGCTCACCTCTCACACAGAAGAGGGAAATACAATTTAGAAAATCAATCCTAGCCCTCTTCCCTGAAGCAATGCAAGTTGCACACTACCTTTCAGTAAGGATGACTGATAACTCAGCAACCTAACTGTTGGAGGATTAAGCAATGAATCACAGAATGGTTAGGGTTGGGAGGGACCTCAAAGATCATCTAGTTCCAACCCCCCTGCCATGGGCAGGGAAACCCTCCACTACACAAAGCCTCATCCAACATGGCCTTGAACACTTGCAGGGATGGGGCATCTACAGCTTCTCTGGGCAACCTGTTCCAGTGCCTCACCACCCTCTGAGTAAAAAATTTCTTCCTTATATCTAATCTAAATCTCCCCTATTTCAGTTTAAAGCCATTGCCCCTTGTCCTATCACTACACGCCCTTTTAAAAAGTCCCTCTCCAGCTTTCTTGTAGGCCCCCTTTAAGTACTGGAAGGCTGCTATAAGACGGTTTAAAACTGTTGAATATTTACACAGTTTTGGTGTTTTGTTTTGTTTGATTGGTTGTTTTTTGAACTGGAAATACACAATGTTATTACCTTCACAAGTTTTTTCTTCTTTGGAATCTGTTGTGTATTATGTTCATGGAATCTCCTTATAGTAGGAGATGCAGTTAATCAACCTCTTTGAAACAGCTATCAAGTCCTATATGATGAGGAAGCATGATGACAACAGTCACTCAAAAAAGCTGTTATATTTACCTTATGTTAAGCTTGAAACAGTATTTTCTTCTGCCCAGATCACAAGTACTTTTGAAAAATCAGACCAGTATTATCATGGGCTCTTTTGGGGGTTTTTTTAGCCTCCAGTAAACTCAGCTATCAGCTTCCTGTTCATGCTCTTGGGAACTGGCTGTGGTCTTTCTCTACTGGCATTGATGCATATGTTTTATATTTGCAATAAAATGATGGTATATGCAGATGGGTGGAATGTAATCCAAGGGTATTATTGATTTTTTAGAATTGCAGTAGTTGTTTTGGTTTCTTTTGGTTGCTAGATGGGTGTTGGAAATTAGTTGACTTTGAGCAATATTTTTACAGCGTTTTGAACATTTCTTTTGAAATTTCCTTTATTTTGTCAAAAATTGAGCTTGTGGAGATGTCTTTGAAGAAAGGGAAAGTCTTGTGGTACGTATAGTTCGAGTTGAATTTTCTGTTCTGCGGAGATCGGAAAGGACAGATGCTATTTCTCTTAATGTAAATTTGAAAAAGTAACGTTAAAGGAAGTCACCAAACTATTGCCTTTGGAGTTTCATACAGCTTTTTTATACCAGTCCTTGTTAGAGACGCTAACACCTGGATGAACATATTTGGTTTTAAATACTGTAAAAAGTATACTGGCCAAGTTTAGGGACACTTTATAAACATTCTATAAGCTTAGTGAGAGCACCAGCCCTTTTTAACTTCCATTTAAAATATTTTGAAATACTGTTGGTTCAAAAAAGTGTTATGAATTCAAGGCTTAGACATCATCTGCAGGCTCTCATACTGCATATGGCTGATGGTATTACATATCCCATTTAAAAACCAAAAAATTACAAGTATAATCAATCTCCGGAAAATACATTGTGCTAGTATAACCTGCTATTCCTTCAGCAACTATTTAAGCAGTTAAATTCAAGGTTGGTGTCAAGCATTTTGAGGGAGTAACACAGGGATAATGGCTGTGTAGCCATATAGCTATTCAACTCTCATGTTTCTAGGAGCGCGCATCATATTCTGGTGGTAGTGTGGAGGGCACTTTCCTTTAATTCATCTTGCCAGATGTAAATTTGTTTCTGATTAATGTAACACAGCAAAGCCTATTTTAAGAGACTTAACTATAATTGAACTCTTGAATGTTGCTCATTATTTCAAGGCAAAACTGGATAATTTGCCGATAGTAATTTTGGTTCTTGTTATTTTGAAGCTCACATCAAACTTTTAGAGATTGTGGTGTCTGTGACTTTAGGGCTGGATGCCAACACTTATTTCTAAACATGTCATCTGTCTAAAGCTCAATACATTTTTTCTTTTTTTCTGTTGTTTGTTGTTGTTTTTGTTTTTTATTTTGTATACAGGCTATTAAAAGAAACTATGGAGTAAACAGCTGAGTCCACGTGCAAAAATATAGAAAATATTTACTGAGCAGCTTTAAATTGGTGCATTTTTTTCATAAAACAGTTTGCATAATACTTGAAGCTGCAAAATATTTGAATTTAAAATTAGAGACTTTTTTAGAGATATAGCTTCAAACTGGAATGATTTGATAATCAAATAAGGATCAGCACATCATAAACACTGAAAAAATCTAAACAGAATTTACACTCTCACACCAATCAAACACTGGAAAAAATACAAGTGCAATTACTGGCTGCTATGTGAACTATTATCTACCAAATGGTTTTCTTACAGTACTGAGATCTTTGTCTCCATACCGCATGCTTTCAACAAACGTGGTTTGCATTTCACCCAGGAAACACAGAATCTTCTTTTTAATATCTATATAGAAAGCTAAGTGTTTGACAATAAGTTCTCTATAGTAAATACCTGACAGGAAAAAAAAAAAAACCAAACTGTTCAAATTTGGAAACTAATAGAGATCTACAATCCCATGTTGGTAAAATTCGTATAAAATTCTTCAGATGGAAATCCACAGGTGAAGAAGAGATGAGTTTCAGAGAAAGGCAAGATAGTAGACTGAACAAGGAAAATTTTAAAGTGGGTAAGAACTGCATGGGAGGAATGATTTTTTTAATGTTTCTTGAAAATTAAGGCAATAACTTGTAGTGACAGCACTGGGGGAAAAGATGATCCCAAGATCCTGAGGTGGCCTGAAAGGTCAGTAAAAGAGAATGCTATTTTCAAGAAGAATGAGAGGTTTGAAGAAACGAGCATGTAGACAAATGTGATAAGCAGATAAATAGTTGGAAATAAATATTCAGAAATCATTGCAGCCTCCCAGGTGAAATAAAAAAAATGTTGACATTAGCTACCAGGAAGCAAAAATGGCACAACTTCAACCAGCTGAAGCAGATGAACAGTCAAGGACATTAACCACCTGAACTGCAAGAAAAAATTTGGGCAAAGCACAGATTGAAAAAATGGAAGTTGAAAAGAGTTGTTTAAGATGAAGAATGGTTGGAAAATTCAAAAAGATTAGGATTTTCTTTCAAAGAGGGAGAAGCAAATAGTCATTTAAGAGCTGGAAAAGCAATATGAAGAAATAGGTAATTTTTTTATTTCTGGAATGCTGAAAACATTAAGAGCACAATATTAAATATCCTCCCTCACATTTTCTTGAAAATCATCATTGTATTAAAAGGGCTACATAGAAAGCTACAGACAAACACATCTGCTCCCATGGACACACTGAGCTCCAACATGAACATAGAGTGGAATAAGATGGTTACAATAATACGTCAGATAAAGTGGAAATTACAATTGACAAAAATGACATAAGGCAGTGAACAATCAAGGCAGCACAAAGAAAGCTGAGGAAAAGCTTTGTCATAGCAATTGAATATCTCACTGTCGAAGGTGTGGGAATCAGCCTCAAAAGAAGCCAGTTTTCTCAGATAATTTTTAGGCTCTGAAGTAAGACCAGAAATGTGCTCCACAAAGAATCGCCAGACAAGATCACTTACCTTCTGAAGGAGCTGAGGCACTCCATAGGATTAATTCAGTCAGATGCAGCAAACTGTGGCTCATGTGAGGGTCTGAATAACCCTGTTTCCATGTACAAAGCACAATTTGAATTGGAAACAAGGATCCTGCAAAAGTTTGGAAACTCAATCCTCAAAAGAATGTGTAGCGCTCGATGTGTTGTTCAAAAGGAACAAGCATTTAGAGAACGTGTTTTCATACACAGATTTTTATGGTTTAGTTAAACCTGTTAGCTGGTATGATGACAGAATGTGGAAAAATGAGGTCTTCACTGCAAAAGGAAGAGTTTTGGCATTACTCTGAAGAGAAGGACTATAACTGGAGATCAACAGAGCTTGAGATAACCAAACCAGGTGCTGATGAAGGAACAAGAATTGGGAAGTGTGAGTCACTTTGGCAAGGAAACACTTTTTCTTCTCATAGACATAGTTTTGCTCATCACTGCTTTGGAAATTAAACTATAAGCACAAACATGGGATGATCAGAGCATGTGGGTGCAACAGTAAGCACGCTGCAGAGACAGGAGATCATCTTGTTACAAAGCAGAAACGGTATGAGCACTTCAATTTTCTTATTTTTTTATGTGTTTTGTTACACTGTAATTCACATGTGA